TTGGGTGCAAAGAATATAACTTGTACTTCTGGGCAGAGAGGAGCATTAAACTCACACCATGTGACAGTGCTGTGCCAATTACCAAGTGCAAGCACCGTCTCATTGGAAGAACCCAAAGCCCTGTGTAAGCTATGACTTGTACAACTTGTTGCTTTAACAGGGTGGTTTCTTCTGCTCCCAGCAGGTTAATGGAGCAGAGGGGAGCAAACAAAAGATAAGTATGTGGTACTATAGGAGTGGATAGATTAAAGAGAGAACCTCTGACCTACTTGGGCAAGCACAAGCTTTTTTTTTTAAAAAGAAAGCTTCTATTTTGTATATGTATGTCAGTTCCATTTTTTACTATTTTATTTATTTTTTCATATATAATAAGCAGTTAAAGTATTTCATACCATGATAATAAACATACTACATTTAGTATAAAAATTAAAGGGATTTGCTAAGGAGAATGTACTGTCTGTTGTGCAAAAAACAGCCTGGCCTCTATCTCCCCTTGCAGTGAAACATTAAACTCATTGGAAAGATAATTTACAAACTCCAAGGAGACTAGAAGGGTAATATGATGTATATGCCTGTTACTAATCTCAGATAAATCAATAGTGAGTGCATTATTCCATCACTAGATATAACCAGACTTTCCACATAAAACTGACATAACCCATGCCTTCAGGTTTATTTTCATTTGATACCTAATACAAATTGTTAATATTGGAGGGTTTAACTTTCTTGGATAAATTTAACTATATCAAAGAATGTCTATTTCAAGACACTCTAAGAGTGTTCAGTCCTTGGACATAGCTAACAGCCCATATACCATTTAGCACGTATATGCTTCAGGAAGGGCCCCAGAGAGAATAATGCCAGCTCTGTGCCGATGGGCTTTGACTTCTTTACCTCCTGCACCCCAAGACAGTAGCATAGGAATGTGAGTGTGAATATACCAAACGTAGATGGTCTTAGTTGCTACGCTCTGCCCCAAAAAAAGGTAAAATAGTGCTTATATGTTTGACAAAAGTGATTTTAAAGTAAAAATAGAGATACATTATAACAGAAATGTTTCCCATTGTTTAATGAAGTAGCTAAAAATTGCAGTGTGGGTAATGAAGTAGCTAAAAATTGCAGTGTGGGAAATAGAGCAAAGGAATCTCCCAGAATCCTGTGCTCCTCTTAAGATTCAGCCCCTGCTTTGCTAACTTTAATTTTAGAATACTACTAGAATAGCTACTCTCCAAGTTAACATGAAATGCAAAAGGCACATGATACTAAAAATATCAGAATAGAGAAACAGAGGGGCACAAATTCATTGCCAATGGCACAAACAAAAATATTAGTTACACCTCTGATAAAAGGGTTGAAATGATATTGTACTGTTTAATGAAAAGTCCATAAGTAGGGTTTTCACTGTGCATCTGTACAATATTATTCCTAGCCATCATTGTTATGTATGTCTGGATTAGACCTATAAAATATGCACGATTGTTTTAAATATTGTCTCCATTAATCATCCAATAGTAAAGAAAACCTGCAGAGAATAAAAAGGTACAGATGTAAATCTTTTTATCCTTGCAATTTTTTTTCTTCCTCGATCTATGCCTGACATCAGAGATAAATCATCTTTTGGACTATCGCTGGCTCCTAATTTTAGTTACTAAACAATAAAGATACACTTTGTACTGTTATCATTATTGTTGTAGTGTTGCATCCTGCCAAATCATTCTGATTAATGGATCTCATGTCAGGTTAATTCATTTATTTAAAAGGCTTTTCAGTCAAGGGTTACCATTTCGCAGTACCTGACCTGATTGTTACTGAAAAAGGTCTGCTTTTTAAGTCTAGTTTGATTTAAGTTCTACTGTCTCTTCTCTCTTCTGCATTAGATTCTCCTGAATCATTCTTTTAAGAAGCAGCAGGCAGCTGACCTCTATTATGTCCTCTGAACATAATTCCGGGTGTAAATCGAGTGAGTTGCTAACAGGCTGAAATTGTATAGCTGCATGTCTAATGGACTGGCATAGTTATTGCTATTAAAGTGCTCATTGGTTTCCTATAATATCATTATCATCATTATCTAGCTGTCTGAACACGATAACATGCATCTGTTCCATATAAATGTGATTAAGGTAGGTCGCAGCAGTTTCGCTGATTAGCAAGGATAGAACTACTTGTGTTATTTTAATATTGCAATGATGCAGAATAGCTAAAGCACTTCAGTATAATTAGCAAGCAAAAATGTAACCTAATGACCAGGATTAAAAACTAAATGCTTAAAAATATTTTTGTTAGGTAAAATCATTATTACTATACATAAATATAGACCCAGCAGGTGAAGATTTATGCTATTTTCCAGAGGTCTTCAAGTTTTCTTCCTGCCTACAGTTGTAAAACATTTGTTTTAACAGAGTTCAATAGCTCAAGATCAAATTTACATGCACAAAGGCGTGAGGCAAAGCAGTGACTCCTCCTCTTCTCTCTTTCTTATTCCATATAACTGTGTCTAAGGTTTCAATCAGATAGGGGGAGACTGAAGACAAACAGCTTCTGTTATGCTCTCTCTTTAGAAAACTAATAGGGGATCATTTAATCAATTCTGTCACACAGCAAGGAAATGCTAAACAGAAGCAGTGAGACAGGTTGTACAGCAGATTTACAGCATAAATTCTTCTCTCGGCTGCTATAACCTAGCACTGAGGCAGAACAAAACCTGACCCTGACCACTTTTTAATTGTGAATTTATTCAGAGTGAAAATCTATCTCATATTTATACTAAATCTGTTGCAGTTGGCTGCCAAGGATTACAAGCTCCTGGGTTGCAAATCTGTGCAAAAACTGTAGCATAGACTTTGTTAAAAGGGAGGCAGCTTGATTTTCATCTGTGTCTTGGATTAGCTTGAAACATGTCCTCCATAGTCCTCTGGAAATACTGTCATATTATATGTTTATGTGCAAAATATTGTACAAATCCAGAAAAAAGTATAGTCAAATCATAAAAAAAATCCCATACCTAATAGTATATCATTTGTTTGGCAAGGCAGCTGATCACAGTTAGATATGGCAAACAGTTATTTGTTGGGCAAAATACAAATCTGTATATTGAGTGCCATCATTATTGTATAGTACAATGAGTAAGCACAAATGTTGGAGAAAAGCTATTTGCAGGTTAACGTTTCATCACAAAACTCCAAAAACACTACTATGACTCAAACAATAAAAACTACAAATAATATATAATATTTTGGGCAGTGGTGGTTAGCACTTCTATCTGGCAGCACTAGGGCCCTGCTTCGAATCCCAACCACGGAACTACCTGTACAGAATCTGCATGGTCTCCCTGTGCCTGTATGGGTTTCCTCTAGGTACTCTGGTTTCCTCCCAAGACATGCTGGTAGGTAAATTGCCTCCTGTCTAAATTGGCCCTAGTACCTGTATATATGAATGCAAGTTAGGGACCTTAGATAGTACGCTCCCTGAGGGTTAAGTACTGATGTGAATATACAATATATATATGTAAAGCACTGTGTAAATTGATGGTGCTATAGAAAGACCTGAAATTAATAAATAATATTACAAACCAATTCACTTTCCTTTGAAACAATTTGAGCTGTAATCATCATGTACATATATACAAAAAAATACAAAAAAAGCTTAAAAACATTCAAAGTAAAGCCCAACTCACACTGCACCTCATGGTAAACTATCAGGGCATAGGTAACATAAACTTCCCAGTTAGCTTAGTGAATGTAGTGAAGTTCCACTTTGCAAAGAATATCCAACTACATGTCAGGAAAATAAAAAAAAAAATTTTTTTTGCTTGCACACGATTGGATCATAGAATTCAGCAGAACGTCAACTTATTCACTAAGCTCAGCTGCCTGGATGCCTTTAGTAATTCAACCCTATGGATCATAGAATTCAGCAGAACCTCAACTTATTCACTAAGCTCAGCTGCCTGGATGCCTTTAGTAATTCAACCCTATGGAGTTTCCTGGAATCATTCAATTCACCACAACACCAGTTGTACATGACCACACCTTTATGAGTTTCCCTTTAGCACGCTGGACATTTGGGAAGGGAGCAACTGCTTGTCGCCAACAGTATGCAAAAATGTGGCCTTTCGGTGGCTGGCCTTGACGCTGAGAGGCCACATATTTGGGTGCCCAATGTAAACAAACATGTGGCAGCACATTTACTGGCACCTCCCGGAAATGTTTCTAATCATGTGACCACTGTGATAACCAATCATGGCGGTCACGTGACCCTAAACCCCGACCACCTCCTGGCGCCACCAAACCCCTTAAAGTCTGGGAGGCGCCGGTGTCAAGGGGTTACGTTCTACGAGTTAAGGTAGTAAGAGCGGAGGAGCATGTAGCATTCCTAACTTTATTATAATTCTTAGAATACTCTCATTTCATAATTTTTTCTTCAGACAAAATCTGACTAACAGCTGTATCCATTGATAGAGGGTGGAATAGGCTGGATCCATATGAGTGCAATTAACTTCTGGGCCAATAATAGCATTTCTCATAACAAAATTCTGGTGTACCTCGGCCTCTGATCTTCATCTAGTATACCTGATAAACATATCTCAGGGGTAAGAGGAACCGGGACAGTTAATATTGTTGATAGTTCTAGCTAATAGTATACAGTCAATTCAAAACGGATATTCTGTCTTTATCATTTAAAATACACCTATGATAAACACTATAGACCCTTCATTTCTTTGTAAGTGGGCAAACTTACAAAATTGCAGGGATCAAATAATTATTTTCCCTACTGTAATTGTCAAGGTGATGGACTCGTCTATTGGGAATCACTACAAAATTTTTAGTAGCACTACACAATAATCTGAATGGTATATGCCAGATTATCAGGCAAACTATGAATATGAATAGGAAGGCCAGTCCCATGACTCAAACTTTGCAATCGGAAAAAAGTTCTATGTAGTTAATGTTACTAGATGTTCACCTAAATGAGGTACTTAAAATAGCAATATGTTTATTTACCTTCTTTGGTGCATAAAAGTGAAATTTTGCTTCTACTTTCACATGGTTGCCTAGAAAAAAAAAAAAAAGCGTGTGGGTGTCAGACGTAGTATGTAACATATGGTAACATTGTGGACAGGAGACTTCAACTATAAAAGGTTAGGAATTACAAGTTAGTGCATCTATTTGTTTTTGTTTTTTTTTTTCTTTAATCAGAAATAAAGTTTATTGAACAGAACAGTAATAAGTTCTAGAGTATCTGTAACACATTAACAGAATACATCAAAACAGTTGTCATCTAGATGCATATACATACAATTTCCTCAGAAATGGTACATAATGTAAACCAGTTATTATTTCAGCAAGTTGACCCACCACTGACCGACAGACAAGCCAAAAAGAAATTTTCATACCATTAAATGCAGTACCCAGGAGCAGACTTAAGTCTGATCCAGTTTAGGAAATAGGCCGTCCACCTAGTGAGCCCAACCATAGCCTACTTTATATGAATAAAAATGTGTTCACCAAGACCTAGACTGTAGAATCAGTTGGAGATCCTTGTAAGGGACCAGACCCACCATTGTATCTAGCATGAAGCTGTGCAGACTGAAGTCCAATCATAGCAGAGAAATATTTTATTCAGCTCGTTTCCCAGTGTACAACAGTAATTATGTTTGAGCGCATACCCCTTCACCAGGCTGCTATCTTTAGCCAGGAAATTAGCTGTATAAAATATTACATTATTACTTTAGGACTCCACTGCCTCAAATGAAAAATTACCATTCATATCTTCAGGCAAAACCTTTTTTGTTAAGTTTTGAATAGAGTGGGGAAAAGGTCTGATCCTCTGTCACGTTTTTAATGCTGATGGATAAATAACGTTTTGTGCTGTCCCTTTAAAAAGTAGTATCACTAATAAAAACTAAATAAACAACAAACAAATCAGTAAAGATGATAAAAAAAACTAAACGGTGCAACAAATAAACATATCAGTGAAGATGATGATAAATACAGTGTACCATAATTGTGCCAAACATCGGTGTATACATATGAAGAAAACCTTTGCCAAGTGTTATAGATGCCAAGTGTTTGGTGAATTCAACTACCCGATAAAGACTATCAATGGTGATTGTCTCTAAACACGGAGATCTCAGGAGATGTCACTATTACAACAACCGGAGTCCAAATAGGAGGAATGGGCCACAACCAACTAGCCATTTCATGGTAGGGACAGATTTTTATAGGCTACAGAAAGTATATTATGGGAATTGGGCTATGGTGCTGCATTGACTAGTGGACATATTTTATTGGGACGCACCTTTTCACATCTCTCCACATCAGCTTCCATTGCAACTCTTGGTTGGACCTAGAAGATTTTCATCTGCCAGGTAGATATAAAATGCCCAGCATTTATCACTGACCACTCAGATCAATGTCCAAATTGTAAGGTATCTGAACTCAGGGCCACCGTATCAGGGCCCAACATATCCTGTTAGTGCTGGCCCAGTGGATCTAATTCTACTCTGTCCCACAGCAAAGTCTTCCACTGCTGGCACCTATTTTGTAGCTATAGCCAGCAGAACCAGAAGTCAGTGTGGGGAGGTTAAACTGACACTAAACTTGTTTTTCTTTTCGTATGTATTTTTAATTAAAAAAGTACCTTCTATTGCTCATAGCCTCCTCCTCTCCTAGGGAGTGGTTTAGGAGCTCATGGAGGATGTTACAAGGAGGTAGAAAAACACAGTAAACTATTTCATGAAAAAAACAGAGAACAGGGCCCTTAAAGTGGTTTTAAATGCTAAAGATTTTTTTTTACCTCCATGCATTCTATGCATGATAGTAAAAAATCTTGTGTGCGCTGCTCCTCCCACAGCTCCCCCTAATACTCACCTGAGCCCCATCTCTATCCAGCGATGTGCACGAGAGCCTCAGCTGTCCCGGGTCTCTCTCTTCTCACTACCTGAGACACAGCAGTGGGAACCATTGATTCCCACTGCTGTCAATTATAGCCAGGGAACCAATGAGGAGAGAGTGGGTGGGGCCAAGCAGCGACTCTATGTGTCTTGTTGAGTGGGGCTCAGGAGCAAGCACACACCAATGACCCCATGGTAAGCAGATTGCTATTGGGGCACTGGTCAAGGTGGGAGGAGCCAGGAGCACCAGCGGGGGACCCTAGAAGAAGAGGCTTGGGGCTGCTCTGTGAAAAACCATAGCACAGAGCATGTAGGTATAACATGTTTGTTATTTAAAAAAAAAAAAAAACCTTTAGAAGCATTTTAAGTAGTGGATGTGTATGGATTATTTTTCAAGAATATACAAGATATGGTATAGTGTCTCTCTAAGACAAACCTTTGGATACTTACTATAGTCCTTCCAATGTGTATAACTGTCCTGAAATGTATTGCTTTTTCTGATCAAAAGTAGAGTTTCACCTTAATAAATCTATAGAATTACATGCATATTTTGAAAATATATTTGAATTTGGGTTATAATTAGTAAATAACCAAAGTAGGAAATAATGTTCTAGCAATTCAGAAAGAAGTGAAAAACAGCAACAAGACATGGACAATCATGATATTTCAAAAGAGCAAAACACTTCTCAGTCAGTACATCATAATCCTTAAAAGGGAATTTTTCTGCTTTTCACTCTTTGGTGAAATCAAGAGTAATAATGAACTGTAAAAAGTCACCTTATTAATCCCAAACTTTACTGTCTTCTCTATTGCTGCCATTTCTAGTTTTTATTCATTTTTGCTTTGAAATGTTAGATGGCAACATTAAAAAAAAAAACTCAGTTTGAGACGCTTTCTGCTTAATCATAAAGCAGCTTAGCGGAGCAGCCAGCATTATATTAAGTGCACTACAAAAGTCCCCTTTCTTCAAGAAATAGATTTTGAGCATATTGTATAATGTAATATAAAGCAGATCTACAAGGGTGTTGCCATCTTAAGTTAATTTCTAATATTTTATTTGGCAGGATCCATACTTCACTTAAAATCAGCAAAAATAGAGTAATTATTATTCCTATGATTAAACACAAATATTGCCCATGTTTAACTGATACAATAATAGTAAAACATAAACGTTGTACACACTCTCAATAAGGCCAATTTAATTATGTAGTTATGTGCATTCAAGGTCATAAGAAATTATGATTTTTAAGACCTCACAATAACATTTTTACAATGATTTTAAACATGGATGGGGATTATAATAAAACAGCTGTAATGACTTGTACTCAGAATAATTATGGAAAGGACACAACAGATTTTAATGGCTAAAGAAAAAATTAAAAAACATTACGTTTTTCACTGTTGGAAGCTTAACAAAGCAGCGGGAGACCAAAAAAAAGGTGTTCAAGTGCTGCTTGGCAGGTGCTGTTTATGTACATTAGTTATTATTATTATTATACAGGATTTATATAGCGCCAACAGTTTGCTCAGCGCTTTACAAAATAACGGGAGACAATACAGCAACAATACAATTCAATACAAGAGGGATAGGAGTAGAAGATGCCATTATTAGCTGAGGGCAGGATAGGCTTCCCTGAAGAGATAGGTTTTCAGATTTTCAGAGCTCACTTAAAAGTGAGCAGAGTAGGCGATAGTCTGATAAATTGGGGTAGAGAGTTTCCAGAGGATGGGGGAAGCTCCGGAGAAGGCCTGGAGACGAGCATGGGAGGAGGAGACAAGGGAGCTAGAGAGTAGGAGGTCTTGCGAGGAGCGGAGAGTACGGTTTGGGTGATATTTAGAGACAAGATCAGTGATGTCATTTGGGGCAGAAATGGCTTTATACATTATTGTTAATGTTTTGAATTGTATCCGTTGGGCAATGGGAAGCCAGTGGAGGGATTGGCAGAGAGGGGTGGCAGATACAGAACGGTTAGTAAGGTGGATTAGTCTGGCAGCAGCATTCATGATAGACTGAAGAGGGGATAGCCTGCGATGAGGTAGGCCAATGAGGAGGGAGTTATAATAGTCAAGGCGAGATATAACAAGGGAATGAATAAGTTGCTTAGTGGTTTCTGAGGTTAGGAACGGGCGTATCTTGGAGATGTTGTGGAGGTGAAGTCTACAAGAATTGGACAGTGAATGGATTTGGGACTAGTTGATTTGCTTTGCATGGGAAAGGTACAGGATTACTTTAAAGCTGACCACAGATGGTTCGAAATTCAGCCAGATCAGCAGGGACTGAATTTCAATCTATTTACAGCTGTTTCCATTCACAAAAAGTCGATTGAATGATTAACTTCTCACGAACAGGCTTGTTGGAAAATGATAGCAGCACTGATCAGTGTATTCAGGTAGTGGGTGAGTTCCAGCTGTCAGAATACAATAACACAGCAGGGAGGATTCCTCCATCCACTCTCCTTGCCTGGATGAGGGAATCTGCTCATTTTTTTTTTCGATCAGCCCATTGGCTGTTCGAAGCAAAAACTGGTCCACGTATGGCCAGTCTTAAACCAGCCATAGATGGATCGAATCTTGACTATTTCAGCAGGGACCAAGTTGAGATTCAATCCATCTATGGGCAGGCTGGTTGTAATGAAGTTGATCCACTGGTTGATTTCCATACAACCAGTCTGTCAAATTGTTCCATGCGATCACTGCTAGAGCCACCTGGACCTAGGACTTCAGTTCTACAACACCATTAACTACCCACCCTCTGTCAACATTATCAGTTTGCACATTACTTACCCTTTTATTAGAAGTTCATGAAAGGTTGATCCATTTTGTAGTTTCCAGTCAGACTTTAAATGCAGCCAGTCATTGTTCTTGTAGTGATGAGAATCTGGTGTGATGACAGTCATTGATGGACCCCTGACATAGGAAAAAACAACCTGAATTATATCTCACAGCAGGTGTTAAACATAAACTGCGAATAACTATTTCTGTATTTTTTATTACATAATTTTATATTTATGAAGACAGCCATTTAGCAATACCTAATTCTTTAATTCTGGTAAAGTCACTAATGCCATTTAAGCTGTGTGGGGGAGAGGGGAAAACATATCTGTACTTTATATCCTCTGTGTATATCACATTTCCGTTGATTCCTTTTGTAATACATGCCAGATCTACTCCAATCTCAAGAAAATCACATGATCTTCTGTGTTTATTGTTTGGAGATTAAAGAGAGACTGTATTCTTTCAGGGTAACATAAGGGTATAATGAGGGGTAGAAGCTAAGCAAACATGTTTTTATCGATATAACAATTAAACCAGAAAGCATCGATTCTTAATAAATTGGGTAGATTAATAAAGGATCATTGTAGTATGTCTGGTATTTATTTTTTTAAAGCTGACAGTGTATGTTATTTTCCCTTTAAATCAAAGAATGACAAATCTCCTTGCTGAAATCTGAACTGCAAACCTTGAATTTTGAATTAGCTTGGAAAATAACTGTGAGTTTTTGGAGGTTATTACAGTGCCATGTCCAGTGCACTAACACAGCAGGAGTTTTACAGTGACAATCTTGGAATACAATATAGCCATAGCTTGTACCAGTCCAGGGACTGATATATTAATGTGTTTGTAGCTTTTCCCAACTATAAGTCATAGATTTGCACATGATTCCTTGTTAGATAAGTATAGTACAACTTGGACGACATAGCTGCATTGGAGAAAAAAAATCTTGGCACCATAGCAAGTTATAGCTGCCACATGAGAATGATTCTAGTGAAACTGGCTAAGCCAACTGGTCTCCAGTGCCCAGATCTTAGTCTGTGTATTGCATGCTGCGTTTCTTATAATCCTTACCAAGTCGATTAAATGATTATCACCTCTGACCCTTGCCAGGACCTGTAGGGGGGATGATAATAAGACTACTTGCCACAAGACAGTTCTACTCTGAAATCTCCTCCCCCCATCCCTGAACAACTTAATAGCGAAGTGCAAAATTGAAACACTGTGGGGATATGGTATGAAAACTGGAGGAAGGAATCCCAGGCAGGGTTTGACTGTCCAATGTATTCAGTCAGATTCCACTTTTCATTTTCCCAATGATTAAAATATAAAATCTGTTTAGTGGTAATGAAGAACTGCTCCATTGTTCTTAAGTTTTCTTTTCTCCAGTTTTGGACTTGACTCCTATGTAAACAAATAAATGGCTCCCAATTAACTGCATGTTGCACGTTTTTGGGAAGCCATGTGATCCTCTGTGTTATATCAAGAAAGTGAAGAAAATTTATGAACATTTTGAATACTCTATCTTGGAGGGTCCGCTTCCCATACCTTATGCTCTATGCATGTTTTTCTACTTTATGTTAGGATATGACATTTGTCCTGTTCTGTCTCGTTCCTCATCCTTATGAGGATTTGGTATTTTATTTGGCTTAGGACTTGTTTGAGAGAAATCTCCATATTTTATGGAACACCCCTCTCCTCAAGAAGAACATCTGCAAAACGCTTTGAGATATTGTTACCCCTCGTTAGCAGACTTGTGTTGGAACTGTAGAGTATATGTGTACTATATTGAATTGATATACTGTACATCTGGTTGGCCAATAATTTGACCTTTTTCTCCAGAGTAGATACATGTATGTATACTCTGTGAATAGGTTAATTGATAACAGGGGTCATGTTCAAGATCTGTATTTTTAAGATTTTTGGTATGAGATTTTAATATTTATTAGCCTGATATGTTGAGTTGAATTGATAATATTATTATTATACGGTATTTATATAGCACCAAAGGGTTTGCTCAGCGCTGTACAGTAGCAAGGGGGACAGAACATGAGACAAGACAGTAACAATACAATACACGAGGGGTTCGAGGGCCCTGCTCTTTCGAGCTTACAATCTAGGAGAAAATAAAAGATGTTTTTAATCTGATACATTTGTGTTCACCCTTTTGAGAGATAATGCACCCATATAGGGGATGATTTACTAAAACAATATAGTGAAAAATCTGGTGCAGTTGTGCATGGCAGCCAATCCGTTTCTAACTTCAGCTTGTTCAATTTGACATAAAAAAAAAAACTGGAAGCTGACTAGTTGCTATCCAGAGCTGCACCAGATTTTGCACTCTTCAGTTTTACTAAGTCAACCCCAAAGTCCCTTAGTACTTTTTGGACTGCATTCATTGGGAGCCATTTATTTGTTTATAAACCCTTTGGAATGGGTGCTAGATAGCTGCTAATACAGCATTTGAATAAATAATTTGCGCTAGTAAATGTGTATAAATATATAAATATATATGAAGAAATCATCAAATCATAAGTCCAGAAAAATATATATATATATGCCAATACCACAAAAAAATATAAAAAACTTTTAGGTGCAAAAAACTTTTGTGCAAAAAAAAAAAAAAAAAAAAAAAAGTGTCTGAATATGAAAAATTTCACCAAAAAAACCTTGATAATATAATGGCAGATCATCCATAAATATATCTTCAGAAACGGAAACTCTGCAGCACACCGATCCTCATCGATCGAAATAACAGGATGAAAAACTTTGTAGTTAATCGAAAATCCACTTCTCCAATAGGTAAAGGACCACCTTCAAACGTATCCATAGGGGGAAATGCCAAGCACGGAGCGGAGGATGTCGATGACGAAACGCGTAGGGCGGGGCTTGATTGATGTGACGTCATTACGTTTTTGGCTGCCAGCTACTGCGCATGTGCTGAGTAGCCAGGCTCGTTTATGTGATTGCTGTTATGCTGTTGATGCTGGTGTCGGCTGGGACACCTCTTGAGTAAGTGCAATGAGTACCTAATAAAGGAATTGGTTTTTATAATATTGCACCATGAAGTCTTTCTGTTTCTCCCGAGTGCTTGGCATTTCCCCCTATGGATACGTTTGAAGGTGGTCCTTTACCTATTGGAGAAGTGGATTTTCGATTAACTACAAAGTTTTTCATCCTGTTATTTCGATCGATGAGGATCGGTGTGCTGCAGAGTTTCCGTTTCTGAAGATATATTTATGGATGATCTGCCATTATATTATCAAGGTTTTTTGGTGAAATTTTTTCATATTCAGACACTTTTTTTTCTTTTTTTTTTTTTTTTGCACAAAAGTTTTTTGCACCTAAAAGTTTTTTATATTTTTTTGTGGTATTGGCATATATATATTTTTTTTTTCTGGACTTATGATTTGATGATTTCTTCATATATATTTATATATTTTATACACATTTACTAGCGCAAATTATTTATTTATTGGTACTTTTATATGGTGATTTTTTGCAGCTGGTACTTTATTAGTAAGTTATATAATTTTGACCATAGGCGCTATTATTAATTTTTCTTATAATACAGCATTTGGCTTGTCATTTACTTGACCCCATGTGCAAAATTTAACACTTTAGAGCAAAGCATCAGAATATTTTTTTTTACTCAGTACTACAGTCAACTAAAGCCTGATAGGCAGCAATGTAGCTTTGATACGTGTGCATTATTTACATAAGTCACTGTAGTTTTCACTTTGTTATTAATTATAACACAAATCAAATGGCCTAATACACATTGACATACATCATTCCTACAAAAGAGATAAACATATATGCAATTTAAAGGTGGCTTTGCACAGCATTAATAGTTACAGTATATCATCCCAATCTGATGTCTGAGTTTGTTTACCCCTATGTGCTTCAGGCTCACTTTATTGATCCTTAACCTGTACATAAAGTTCACAGAGAGTTCTGTAGCATTTTTTTTTGGTTTACAAACATTTTTATTTAGTTTTTTTTTGTAAAGAAATAGACTACAAAATGGCAGTACAACATCAAGTAAGATATACAACAATATGCAGTGAAGCAAGAATGCTATAAAAAATATATATATTTTAATTGTTTTGTTTTATTCATTTAGAAAATGTGAGCGAACAGAAGAAAAATCTAAACTATATCAATATTTGGTGTGACTACACTTTGGCTTCAATCCAGGATCAATTCTTACATCTGCACACTTTGTGCACTTGCACAAAGTAAGGGATTTTATAGGATTGGATTCAGGTATATGATTAATCAATTATGCCAAGCAGGTGCTAAAGATCATCAATTTCATATGTAGGTTGAAACACAGTAATTAACTGAAAAAGAAACAGCTGTGTAGGAAGTCTAAAAGTGGGTGAGGAGCAGCCAAACTCTGCTACTAAGGTGAGGTTGTGGAAGTCCGTTTCATGTCACAGGTAATACACCATGGCAAGACTGAGCACAGCAACAAGACACAAGATAGTTATACTGTATCAGCAAGGTCTCTCCAAGGCAAGGATTTCAAAGTAGACTGGGGTTTGAAAATGTGCTGTTCAAACTCTTTTGAAGATGCACAAAGAAACCAGGGACAGTAGACACAGTGGTAGGCTAAGGAAACCTAATTCAGCAGATGAAAGACGCATCATATTATTTCCTTCAAAATCAAAAGATGTCCAGTAGTGCCATCAGCACAAGACTGGTGGAAACCAGCGAGACCCAGGTACACCCATCTACTGTCCGCATAAGTGTGGCCAGAAGTGGTCTTCATGGAAGGATTGCAGCCAAAAAAACACCTCTGCAACGTGGAAACAAGACTAAGCGATTCAACTATGCATGAAAACATAGGAACTGGGGTGCAGAAAGATGGCAGCAGGTGCTCTGGACTGAAGAATCAAAATCTGAAATTTGGCTGAAGCAGGAGGCAGTTTTTCACTGAAGGGCTGGAGAGCAGTACAGTAATGAGTGTCTGCAGGCAACAGTGAAGCATGGTGAAGGCTCCTTGCAAGTTTGGGGCTGCATTTCTGCGAATGGAGTTGGAGATTTGGTTAAGATAAATGGTGTCCTCAATGCTAAGAAATACAGGCAGATACGTATCCATTATACCATACCATTAGTGAGGCACATGA